AAGAACTTCATATTGCCAAACTCATCTCAGATATGGCACAGCAGCAGAATGAATATATCAGGATCACCTAGAACACTTACTGGCGCCCTGTTGTACATTTTTTTAAGGACTGAAATTTTCTAAATTTTGTATTCAATTTGTTAATATAAAAGACTGTACCAGGAAAATCTTCAGTCACGTTTTCCCAGATATTGATGTAAGCAAGTCATAAAGAAGCATATGGACTGATATAGTGAACCTAATGATAGTATGGAGGATGGTTGCCTACATACATGATGTCATCTTACATATAAAATCCTAGATGGATCTTAAATCTTTGATGTATGTCTCAGGTCTGGGAGAGGAATCATTATCCAGCTAGAATACCCCTTCTTCCCAGAATTACTTAGTAAAAAGAAAAATTATGTAGATTACCAGCAGTCAGGATGGCCCACCTGACATTCCCACTTGACAGACTAGGGTTTTCTCACCTCCTGTGAAGGGTCTGTCCCTTCACCCCAATCCTAGTTAAAAATAAAATTTTAAAAAGGTGATTTGGATTTTCTTTCCTAAAGTCCAGAAATATAGAACCTAACAAATGTTTTGAAAATCCTGAAAATATAAGGGGTAGCTGTGCAGTCATGCAGTTTGGCACATGAAAAAAGTTGTAATGAGAAACCGTCCTTTAAAGCAATACAGCTAAATCTGTAGAGATAAAAAGGAGTTTTCTTCTGTGGGGAACGGGAAATGAAAAATGACAACAAGGGAAAAGAGCAATCACACACAGAAAATTTGAAACAAAATCAACAACATCAGAATAAGCTGGTTAGGTATTATCTATAGAATCTTGGGTTTCAGAGTATACTGTAGCAGGGTTCATTGCAGGCAAGACAGTTTGAGAGAAAGCATCTTGACCTCCTGCTTACTGTAGATATTACTAGGTAGACAGGTAGGCTTCTCTTTTTTGAGCAATAATTTCACATTTTAATAGAAATAGAGAACCACGAAAAATAATAACTAAAGGAACATTTTTATTTTGCCTAATCTGGTTCTAACTAGGTTAATTACTGAGTGAAAACAGCTTGTATCCAAGATGCATATTTGGAAAGAAGAGTCTTGGTCTATTTTGTCTTTTTAGCATGAAGCAAGCTCAGGAAACACTCTACCCAAAGTGACCTCACCAGAGTGGGCTTGGTTGAAATCCTTAGATCCATTTTTTTTCCCATTGGGGAAAAAGATTAAATGGCAAAAAATAGTGCCTTAATAACCATTCCTCAAAAGGCCATTATTTGTAGGTTCTGGAGTACATAAATGAGATTTTGTGGGGCAGACTGTAGCCACCTCTCCTCCAGGGGACATTATCACATCTCTCACTATATGAAGCTGAAAAGATACTGTACATGCAGATCAGCTCATTAAAATTTAGTATTTAAAAATTAATCTCAACTCCTCTGACATAGGATGATCATATAAGCCAAAAAAAGCAGAATTTCAGTATTGATACCATAACATTTCCAAGACTAAAAAAAATTAAATAGCAGTATCCAGTATGTATACTTTTAGGATTTTTTAGTCTCTAAGTGTTCCTAAGTAATATTGGTTGGTAACTTATGCTGCTTACAGTATATATTTGGATTCCTGCACTAAACTGGGGGTTAGTCTTGATAGCTTAAGTAGCTCCTTTCCACTCCATGATTCTAATCCCATGGACTAGAACTTCAACATATAAATTGAACAGTAAATCCGCACCATTCCTATACTATAAATAAATGCAGTAAGACTAGCAAAACAGAAGCTTCAGGAATATACAGGTAGTCCTTACTTACCAACCACAATCTCCGTTGCTAAGCAACAGTCGTAAAATGAAACATGACCACACCCAATTTATGTCAGTTCTGGCTGCGGTCGTGAAGTAAATTACCTAGGGCCATTAAGCACAACATCACATGACTACTTGTGACTTCCTGCCATCTTTCCCATTGACTTTGCTTGTCAGAAACCGGCTGTGAAGGTCGCAAATGGCAATCACGTGACCGTGGGACACTGAAACCATTGTAAATGTGCACCGGTTGCCAAGCACCCAAATTGCGATCATGTGACTGCTGGGATGCTGCAACAGCCACAAGTTCGAGGACCAGTCATAAATCAACTTTTTCAGTGCTGTCATAATTTCAAACAGTCCCTGAATGAGAGTGGTAAGGACTGCCTGTATTTGTTATTTAAAACAAGCAAGACACCATTTAAAATTTAACATACTTGTCTAAAAATATATTCCCTTTTGAAAAGATCCTGCTAAAACTGTGGAAGGCTTAAAGTACCACTGGGGTACAGAACCTAACCTACTAATAGCCTACAGCTAATTGGCAAGGCGAGATGGAGGTATCCAATGTGCTCCAAGTAGTGGCATTCTGAGAACTTCATGACCTCTAAAGGATCAGGTTGGGATGCTATATGGCTTCAACCCTGGAGGCTCAAGTGGCCTTTAGGGCGCAAACTGTATTTCATGAATTGAGGCACTACAGCTATTTACTGACAATCTGATCACAAGCATGCTTTTCTTGATTACATTTCATGTACTCTGTTGCAATGCATTATACTTAACAGCTAACTTAAATAGTTCGAAGAACAAGATTGCCTGCTCAAACTTTTGAGTAAAACACTTTTACTTGCACATTTTTATTTTTCACTATGTAGCTATTTTTGGCACATTAATCAATTGCCACTGTTTAAAGATTGGTCTTTTTGCTGTATACACCCTTGTTTTCCAAAGAACTCAGGTCATAATTTCAAAACATCTTACTCCCAAATAATTTGCTCAAGCATTTCTGCCTCAGAGGCCTTTTTCTTTCTGATCTTCACTGTCACTGAGGTAAGACACAAGGTAAGGAAAGATGGAACTGTCTTGAGTGCAGCTATAGGAATGTGCTCCTTAGCAAAACTGAGATAGTGCAGTTAAAGTTCATCTTTACAAGATGCTCTTTCATTTAAACAGCCCTATATGATTCATCAGGTTTCATTAACTCTGATATCATGTTCCTACATAACTGAATGCTTTTTCTATTATACCAATCTGATTTTATTTTTAATGTAAGCTTCTATGGTAATGTCAGCTGAAGAACAAGATAATAAGTATATACAATATTTGTTTGAAAAGGCTTGATAGCATGATTTGCTATGGATGGAGAATTTTTTTTTACCATAACATGGACCTGTTTTGAGTGTTAGTGTATCCAGAAGCCCATCCCCATTGTCTTACATAATGTACCTTCAAATCTAATCTTAGATTTGCTTAATTTAGAAATGTTTATTTGTAAAAGAAAATACTTGTGTATTCCAGTCTTAGGATAGCTGATTCACTGTAAGAAGTATGAAATGTTTATTTCTTATTCTACCAAATTAAAAAAATGGTAAAATTATACTCTATGCTGCTGGTATAAAAAATGAGATTTATCCAGACTACCGTTTACTAGGAAAATAAGGAAACTCTGTTCCTTTCACAAGGTTATTACTGATTTATAATACAGTATTTCAATAAGTTAAAATAAAGAATTAAAAGCTTCCTCCTTTCTCCTTCACCTTCTAGCTTTTATGAAAATAAAAGACCACATTCACTCATACATGATTATTTTAATTAAGGTTTCCCCAACCAGGACACCTGCACAATTCCTATCATCTAACAACTGGCTCTTCTGATCAGGATTAATCTAAAACATCTAAAAGCTATCAGATTGGAGAAAGTTAAGTCTATGTAATTTGAATTCTGTTTATTCCATTAATGCAACTCAAGGTACGTAAGACATCATCTAAAATGTTCAAATTGACTTCAAGGTATTTCCTAGACACCTTTTTTAAAATCACACAACATAATGACTACAAAGAAGAGAACAAAACACATCCTCTCTCTCTCTCTGAAACACTCAGATCGCTTCTCCCTTTTAAGATATACCTGTAATGAATATTTTTACCAATAAAGAAGGAACACGACTAATGCATTCTTTTAGTTACTAAACCTTACAGGAAGCATGCCAAGATGTTTTCTGGTCCCCACAGAGTATACATGAGATGATTAATAGTTGGTATTCATAAAAGTCAAGAGGCCTTTTAAAGCGTTTCGTTATTCATTTGTGACAGTTTCAGCAAATCTATTCCCATACCCCAGATGGTTAATACTGACAACTTACATAGTGAACATTAAAATAAATATTTATACTGGGATGGGACTACCATCTATACATATGGTAAGGGACAGGACTTCATATGCACCAGGGAGATTTCAGAGAGGTTTTCTAAGACAGATTCTTGGCTAATAGTATCTGCCACTTATGATGCTAGTATTTGTGCTATCAAAAGAACATCTACATCAGGCCTGCACAACCTGTAGAGGGGAAAGGGCTATATTGATAAGTTAAAAATTGTTGCAGGCTGCAAAGGAATACCTGGCATGCAAATCAGATGTTTTGCAGTTAGCAGAGCGGAACAGCACTGGAGCTGGCAGTGGCAGCAGTGAGACTTTGAGGAACTCAGTAGCTTGTCTTTTGAGGCAGTGGCAGTGCATTTATTACTTTTGTAAAAATGCCAGTGGGCCGTACAAGGCTGCTTGGCAGGCCCCATGCGGACTGTATGTTGTGCAGGCCTGATCTATATTGAATGTAGGATGTTGGTTCTGGATTTAACCTCAGGCAACTCTACTAGAAAGAATCTTATTTTGATTGCAGCACAAGTTCCTTGTCCTTCTCAAAACCGTCCAAACGGAGTAAGTTGGTTAAATAAATGTAATTATTTTTATTTATCCACATTTGTAGCTTAAGCTTTCTCCAGACATCCCAAGAAAAGCAGGGTGCACAGGATCATCTTTGTATACACAGAGGCACATGTAATGAGGTAGGATAAAGGCAAGTTGCAGAGGACAACTGAACTTTTAGCACTTCAAAAGATAATACCATTAGATAAGCAAGAAGTAAAATATCAAAGTGTCAAGTGTATATGCCCAATGAACATCTTACAAGCTGGTCTTTGAATGATTCAATAAAAATATGCTGATTTATTTTCTCTCTTATTCTGGAATAACATATTGATTTCTGAGATTGTTTTTATATTACAGGAACTTAAATACAAGAAACCATCATTGGTTCGCAGAAATCTCAACTTCAAAACGTAGTGCCAAAGAAGGTGTCCTAGCTTCAAAAACATACATTAGTTATAGACAAATATAAAATATCTAAGTATAATTTTTAAACTATCCTATGCAGTTTATTTTGCACTTACAATTTACAATGCTTTGACCATTAAACAAAACTTATTGGTAACTAAAAGCAAACCCAAAATACAAATCAATATAATATAGAAAGAAATCCTATTTACTGTTATATCACTCCCAGTGCTTGTGCCATTTTGTTTTTTAGCTCAATTATTTACTATTTATATGGGGAAAATGTAAAGAAATATTTAGTGTAGGTAAATTAGTATATAAATTGAATTTTACTGTAACCTAATTCTGTTAATTTAATATTGTAGTAGCCTGCCACTTTCTCAAGAAGCCTGATATAGCCAGAATTCAATTGAGAAGGTTGACATTTTGAAGCACTTAATAGGAAAGGAAGTTATGGACCATTTCAATACAGTGAGGTACATTAGCTGAACTAGAGGTTTAGTATGCTTATTGCAAATTACTCTTAGTTATAACAAGCAATGTTTCTTTTCTGATGTTATTGCTGTGGATAATATGGCTGTTGTGGATAAGGGTATCCAGGCTGCTGAGGTCCTGGATAAGGGGCTTGTCCAGGATTTGGGTACCCAGGAGATGGTGTATATGGCAGATTGTACTGGCCATACATATAAGGATTATAGCCCAATGGCAAAGGCATCTGGCAATATCTGTAAAAAAAATATATACATATTTTATTAGAATAAAGAATAGGTATTTCTATGCTTTGACCAATCAACAAATCTTCAAATATCACTCCAAACAAATCTTAGAGGATACAGAAATAATCCATATCTCATAAGGCTACTGAATTAAACACTGAAGAATCTACACATGAAAGTATCTAATCTAATCTTATCATCATGCAAGAACTAGCAAATGAACCTCTACTTACAACCTTAACGATGAAAGAAGATCATAACAAATTGTCTTACATCAATCAAAACCTAATCTGGATATGGGCATAACATAATTCAAGCACTTACATATGCAGTGTACTTTTACAAGTACTTTATTTCTGGCTCCACAGACCTTATACAAGGTATTGTAAACTACTGAGCCAAACATGCAATCACATGAAGACCTGCATGCTATATTCTGAATCATTTTCACTCTCTCTAACAACAAATACAGATAGTGAGAGGGAAATAGGTCACAGGAAACAAAAGAATATTAGCCTGCCATTCAGAATTCCAAGGTTTATGTAAATCATTCTTAAAAATCTAAAAAGTCATCTACTGAGGTGAACAGCAGATTGAATTGGTGACTTGGTAGTCACAAAATTTTGAATGTCAGCCAAAATGAAATCCCAGAAACTAGAGTGGGAGGATTGAAATACTTTTAGAATCTTATAATTCATAGAACCTTAGAGAAAACGCCTGACAGGAAATATGAAAAGGAGTATTACTTTTAAGAAGCATTGATCCATGAGCACATTGTGCCACAGGTCCTATTTATTTCCCCCAAACATTATCTGCACCAAAACTATTTAATACGTGAAGCTATTATGTTCAGTAATAGTAGCACCAAGTCCAGAAGTGTCTTAACTGTATGACATTAATTAGATCACATTTTTGCAAACTTACCCAGGAAATCCTGGATATGTTGGATAAGGTGGCCCCTGGGCCTGTGAAGGTGCTGCATTAGCTACAGAACCTGCTGGAGAAGGTGATATCCCAGTGGTTGCTGGACCAGGAGTAGTGACTGTAGATGCTGTAGAAATTACTGGTGGAGGAGGGCGTGCTGGTGGCTGCGGTTTACTAGACTAAATAATAGAATTATATATAATGTAAGATAGAAGTACAGTTCTATTCTTTATATTTTATATTTACGGCAATCATAATTCTGAAAAGCTGACTAAGAATATACATAAGCACCACCTGTAACAGTAAGTGCTACACAATGAGATAAATTTATTTAAATCAATGCCTTTTAAATATTGAAAAGAAACACCTGTTAAATTAACTACTTAAATCAACTTTGTCAACAAATGATAGTCCTTCATTTGTTTCTTATCCAATTAATAAATCTGATTGTTAAAATATATTTATAACTCAGTGGAATTGTAACATCACAATTCAGATTGTTTTGTAAATTGTAAACATAGTAGCTTTAATCTACAAAATGGTACACAATAGTCATAATCTCTATCAAGCTGTTGATATAATGGCAATATGTTAGACTTATCCATTTTACTGTTCCTTTCTGTGTCTTATCAATCATCCTTTCTCTTTTGCTTGGCCCAACTCTGGCATCACCGCGCCAGAGAACAATTCTGTGCAGCCTATATCTTTACACTTAGGATTTTGTTAGAAAAACAATAACTGAAAACTCAAAATTATCAAGAATAAGTGCAGCTTGTTGGTGATTAGATTGGTTTTCAAATGATATTTTGATTAGAGAGAGAGACAGTATTCCCTCTCCCTCTCATTTGCCTGGCTAAGAATAGGTTCTCTCTCAGCTGTGCTTTGCACTGTAACTTTTCAGTATACAAGGCTGTTATTCCAGTTTACTGAAACAGATACATGTAGAAGAAGCACAATACAGTGACTATTACTGTTGCTTTACTTACCACATTGGTTCGGGGAGCTGGAGTTGGAGTAGATGATGTAGGGGGCTTGTTTCCTCCAGAGTGGACAGTTTGATATGCAGGCACAGAAGGAAAAGAAGGAGCACTGGGTTCTCTGGCAATACTCTGCTGCAAATCTCTTAAAAGAAAAGCATAATAACATTGGAAGTTAAACATGGAGAATCAGACCATTATTTTAGCCTATTATAGAACACCTGGAATGTATTTTGTATTTAGATCCTGGCTTCAGCTTCTGAGAGGAAAAACTACAAATCAATATTCAGTTCAAGTCAAGTCCATAATTAAATTCACCTTCATCTAGCCACAGCCTAGCATAATTAGACTTAAGGTCTCAGTGAAAAGTCTTTTTTGGATGAAAAGGTATTTAAGGAATGAATTCAAAAACAGTACTTTATAAAGGAATGTTAATAATTCTATAAAATAATATTAAAGCAATGCTCCAGACTTGAAGCACTAGGTCCTGTTTCAAGCATCACTTTTGCTCCTGCAAAGGATTTCTCTGTGCATCTTCCCCAACTTTCAAAATGGAAAACAGAGATGGGGAAGTTGTGACTTTCTAGTTGTTGCTGAGGTTTAAAGAACAAGCAAACATATCCATTGCATACAAATATCAATGAGTAAGAAGAATCACAATTATCCTCAAGATCTGTGAAACAAAAAGGCTTGTATATTGTTTCAACAGCTTAATTGGATAAATTACATATCAGTTGCTTTTATCTCTTGGGGGTCAACAAAGCAATTACTATCTGAGCTAACTTAGAGAAAATTCTATAATTCTGTATATTATGAAAACATGAGTAGCCTTTATCAATTAACCAACATCTTGATAATTAAAAGTCACAATAGTAAGACAGAAGTATTCCCTGTTATTTTCCAGCACAGTTATTATTAACAAGTCTGTATTATTTGAAGGAACTTTAAGATTAAGCTCTTTTGACTGCAAAGCATTCTTTCCTTAAAAGCAGCAGCCAGAAACTGTAAACAATGTTTTTCTATAATATTTGTGGATTCTTACTTCAGAAGTTCATCTCTTTCTGTTTTGCGTGCAAACACAATGTCACTGCATTTGTTTTGGAACTTCAAAAGGATTTCAGTCAGTTCATTATAGAACTAGAAAGGAAGAAACAGACACACACATTCATACCTAAATATATATATTTAGAGAGAGAGAAAGAATACAGAATGGATACTGACATGTAATGTCATGGTGAAAATATCAATGAAGACATTTTACATAATTGTAGTTTTCATCAATCCTATGAAGTACAGAGTTCTATGGAACAGAATTCCAAACAAGTCTGCAAAAAATCCATCTGCTGAATATTCAAATTAAACAGTTCAATTGTTTAATTAAAGTGTATTGAAGTATGTGTTATCTGAAAGCTCTTCTAGATACTATCTCCTATCATGCAGAGTGTTTTGTATCTACTTTGGATTTTTAACTGGTCATGGTAGGCAGAATAAGTCATGGTATGTAATCTTTGTCATGCTACCATAACAGGTTATAACAATGTTACTCCAAGTCATCTTAAGGATATTGGATGCATTTATCTACTTCATCCACCAAACAATGTTTTAATTTTAATAGATACTGTGATATCAAATACATTACTATGGACCATCATATCTTTGTTTTGAACTACATTACATTCCCAAAGAGCCTAAGTAAAATGAATGTGACTCAGATCCAATGACATGAAGACGTGGGGTTTTTTTCCCCCAAATTTGGAAATCTTTTTCCCTAGGCAATAATGACAGGATAAAATAAAGTTTCATAATAAAAAGCAGAGACTTACATAAAATGAACCCTTTGTAAGACCCTTTATTGTTGCAGTTTGCTGAAAATAAGCTCAAGTCATTGCGATAATTATATATTGTTTTTGCTTTTTGGAGGCCAATGCCATAACATGATAATATTACTGAAGTGGGATTTCTAGGTGGTGGAAATTTCTATTACCCAGAAGGAAAGCTTACAAAAATAAGCATTAGATGAAACAGACTATACACCTTGATATATAGAATAGCAGAAAAATAGGAAGGTATCATATTCCCAATCAGACTATGTATCCCATAAAGACACAACCACTTCCTAGAATTGGCAGCTAAGATCTGTTACATCAACTCCCCTTTCTCCCACAAATTTCCTCTCTGTTGTCTTCTACCTTATTTCCTCTAACAGGTAGTTAGATTTTTATTACCTCCAAAATTAGAGTTAAAGTTCTTAATGAACTTTGCTTAAATTTTCCTACCAGCTTTTTGTTCTAGTTTCTATCTGAAAAAAATATTTTGTACAAAATGTCCTTTAACATCTTGCAAAATCTGTAATTCAAGACTGGCATTCTTGCCAGGCACACTCTACATATTCATTCAAGGGGGCTTTGCCAAGTCCTTTACTGAACATTACTCTTTAGTGAAATTTTTAAAAACCAGAAATAAAACATATCTATTGAGATGCTATTAGTCTTGTGGACTCTTCTGTTACTATACCTTTGTGCCTTCTCTCAAGTTGGCTATAAGTTCCACAAAGTTGTCGTTAGCTACAGCTAAATTCTTCAGAACTTCTTCTCTTAGACTGGATTCATTATTTGACTGCTTCATCTTAGAAAATTCCTGATGGGAATTCTAAACATGAAAAAGGACAAAACATGAGAAACCAAGTTCATGCTATTGTATGAAAGTTTTGCTCCCTCAAACTGGCATAAAGATTCTCTGTTGGAATAATGATTGAAAGTTACAAGTTAGTCTCAGTAAAAAGCTACTATATCAGACTGTGCCAGATTTTAGCTCTGTAACACTTTTAAAAAATTACCTGAATGCTGTTGAGCAACTCCTCCTGTTTTTTCAGGGTCTCCTGCACTTTATGAGTAAGACCACCATAAAGATTATCCAACTCTGTGACAGAAATGGCTTCTTCATTTAAAGCACCATCCTGTGCTAGTGCTGTTAGGAATTTAGATGTCATATCAAAATTTACTGATTTGAGATCATTCTCAAGTTGTTCTCTCTGCTTTTTCACTTCATCCAGATTAGCTAGCAACGATTTTAGAATATTAACTACCTAATAAAAGAGAATAAATTAGAAATAAAATTAGACATAGTTTTTCATACTAATAGTTATACTTTTGTTACATTAATATTGTTTAAGAATATGATGGCATGCTGAGCATAAATACAATTCAAATTAGAACCCTGGAGTTCTTATCTGCATCTTAAATGAGACCAAGATTAAGAATGCTGAATCTCAGAAACAGATTTATTCTGTATGAGATCACAGAACTTTATATGGAAGATCTGTTGTGCCATCCCTTTCTGTTGTGGTCAAATAGAACTGCTTTATACAAATACCTTTTGGAAGCTATTATGTGCTTTTTAGCAACAAGGGAAATTGTTCTGTTGGTTCAAGCCATAATATGACTCTATATGCATAAGCTGTCTTGAATAGTTTTGTGATTAAGATGATAGACAAGTTGGTTAAATAAATAAATAAACAGCTCATTCCCAAATGTGAAAGGCCAACTGTATATATCTTTACCATGAAAACAATGCCTGACTATAATTAAAAGCAATTACAGGCTGAAAAGAACCAGAGAAAACAGAGCCAGTGTGAAGTTGTGTGGTTAAGCTATTAGACTGGCACCATAAAACCTAAGTTCAAGTCCTCTGTAAGCCTAAAAAGCTTACTGGATGGCTTTGGGCCAGTCACTTTCTCTCATCCCAGCATATCTCACAGGATTGTTGTCTTGGGAGGCAGGAATGCTATGTGTGCCACCTTGAGCTGCTGAATAAAAGGCAAGATATAAACCTAATAAATAACATCTGTAGTAGACATTTGTGTGTATGCGCGCATGTGTGCGTGCGTGCCTTTGAGTCAGTGTTGACTCCTGGTTACACACTACGAAACCATTATGAGATCAACCTATAATAGCAGTATTCCTAAACTGTTGTTCTGGTATTTCAAATTCATTTTCAATAGACCAAACTGCTGTAAATCAAAGAGTGCTAATTATGAAGCAATGTGAATATCTAACTATTTGCTGTGTAGAGTGTTAATAATATGTATGTTAAATATTTACATGGCATAGAAACAGAGAAAGGATAATAGCAGTATTCCTAAACTGTTGTTCTGGTATTTCAAATTCATTTTCAATAGACCAAACTGCTGTAAATCAAAGAGTGCTAATTATGAAGCAATGTGAATATCTAACTATTTGCTGTGTAGAGTGTTAATAATATGTATGTTAAATATTTACATGGCATAGAAACAGAGAAAGGAGCAAGCAAATGATGAGTCTGGAGTGAAAGGAGACAGATAAGAGAAACCAGACTGTTGTCTTTTCTTTGGGGTGAAGGGAGTCAGTATATGGGCACAATAAAAAAAGTAATTGTTTATGGTACATGATTATGGTACATCAGTAGAGGGGAGGAAGATATGGTGTCCCATTTGTAGAATGGAATTTAGAAGTGCTTGGGCAGCCCATAGGAAGGTCATCCCATAATATTATCAGATGCTACATTCCATCTGTAAAGGTCACTATATGATTTATATCGCTTTATCATTCCTATGTAACATTTATGAGGATATATAACCTATAGCCTTGCTTTAACCAGGTCTCTTCTGCATTCTTTTGGCCAGGAGTCCAGTGATCACTGTAGTTATTGCATCTGTCTCCAGATTGCTTGGTTCCTTAATTAGATGGGCATTTCCCCATAACAAATGTAATCATTAAAAGAAAATTCTTGTTCTTACCTCACTGCCTTGCATTGTTTTTGCTGGATTTGCTGATGGAATTGCTGCATTAAGTTCTTGTTCCGATTTACATAACAATGAAATTGTATCTCGATGAGACTGATACCGTTCCTTAACCTGTTTGTCAGCTTGTACTGCTTTATCCAGTACATTACGGTAATTAGTTCCTTCTATAAAAAAAGCCCAAAGACAAATCTGCAGCTAAAATAGTGCTTACTAATTATTGATATAGTGAATTGTTAAGCCCTTATCAACCACTCATCCAAGAAAGCAAGATTCTCGCTAAGTCTCTTTAGTCAGATATAATGAAAAAATGGTTTCAGAATCTTGGAAACTGAGTATTTTACTTTATCCCCCATTTATCAGCTTGTATGTTAAGGTAACACCTTCTTGATGTCTTTGAACATCTTCCTATCAGCCTCCTGACACAGGACACAGGACACATGTTGCTACAATTTACCTTCTAAGAAGGAATATACTTCTGTTCTGGGCCTCCATTATTTTGTAAACGTCCATTCCTAGACTCAGAGAAATTGATTATGTGAACTAGTTGCAAATACCTTGTTAAATTGATAGTTCTATGAATTTGAATGGGCCAGAGTCAGATGGAGAATATTTTTCCCAGTGTTGGGAAACACTGTTTCATATAACTTTGATAGTTGATTTTAAAATCTTGATTAAATTATGACACATTTTATAGCCTGGATGCCACACTGTACCTTCCACTAGCAATCAGTTATAAAGACATTTTTGAGATGCTTGCTCAAAAATTAAAACTCTACACTAGCAAAGCTGAGATTGCTTCCATCACTTAGAACGTGCACAAGTTTTGAGATCAGAATGGCAATTTCAAGTGTTCCAAATTTATTTAGAGAAATATAACCCATGTTCTGGGGGCTTCCCCTACATGCTAAACAAACTGTGTTTTTCATGACACGCTATCTCAAATGTTTTTGAGATAGCATAGCAGAACTAGAAACAAACAGCTCCACCCTCACTTTTCATCTCAAGATCAAAAAACAGGTGGGAACATAATCCATACTGAGTATTACCTACCACCCAACTTACAGAAAAACTGGCCAATGGGATGTTGTTTTTTAAATAAACATTTTTAAAATGAATTCCTATAGCAAGTTATTGCAAGCATAATAATTTTTAAAATGTTTGTTAAAATACTGAAAAACTATCAAACACTTAGAATAATATTGGGAAAAATTAGAAAGCCAACAACTGGAACCCAATGAAGGTAAAGATATTTAATCCATTTAATTATTTTAAGTTGATGTTTTGCTTTAATCAAGCCCTGTTTACAGTTGAATTATAAGTAATTCCTGGGATTACTAGCATAAAACTAGGTAATATTTTAAAGTTTTCTAAATCTGATATTAATTAGCATCATATCAGCAACATTAAAATATTTTAATAATCATTCATTAAGGCAAGGCCTTATTGTCTGTCCTTACATTATGAATACTCAAGTATCAAAATAAATTGATATCTGGCCACAGCTCTCTCTCTGAAGGATAAGCAAAAGCATAAGTATCAATTTATTATATAAAATAATTAATCAATCAATTAATCAATACTGCCAATATTTGTCATCTGTATGCTGACTTAATGTAATCAGTCCAGACTGGAGCTGAAACATATCATCTATTAAGTTCAAGCTTAATACAAACTTCTTCCTGTTCTTGGACTGTTTCTTCTTACCTAGGTGCTTCAATATTATAGCAATATATTTTGGGATAAATCTCAACATAGAAAGAGATTCATGCCAATTTCTATGTATTAAGCAATCCAGTGTAAAGATAAAATACACAATAAATTATTACCTGCCCTCAAAGACTTGTACAAATCATTTGATGGTGTTCTTTGCCAACGTTCCTTAAATTTGTTTTTCAAGTCATTGTCTGTTGCTTCTTCTTCATCCAATATCCTTAGTGACTTTCATCATTTAAAAAAAAAATTAAAATAATTTCAGTTCAAATCTTAATAGGCTGTTCCCAGGCTGTTAGCTTAAATTTTCTCCCACTAATAGTCATGACTTCGGTTGGTGATTTAAAAAAGAATTAACTTAAAACATAAATAAGGTGTCTAAATCAAATTCAGTGTTTTAGAATGATATGGGCAAGGTGTTGCTTTAACAGTAAAATATCAGTGTACATCCAAAGAGAAAGAACATGATAAACAGTCATGAATATATATGCATGCATGCATGCGGCTGGATAGTGTAGTGGTTAGAGCAACACCTTTTGATGTGGGAGACCAGGGTTCGAATCCTGACTGGTACCTACCTTATCAGTAGGGGTCCTTGGGCAAAGACCCTCTAATGCCTCACCTGCTGTCAGGTTCAGCCCAAAGAACTCCAAGAGACAATGCAAATACAGTTCTGTTGCGTTTATTAGCTCCAACCTCAAGACAGAAATCTCACCAGACTGAACCCAGCAAGCCACAACACCGTGAATTCCTTAGGGAGGTGCCAGCCTCATCTTCTTGAACTTCCCATGCTCCTGTTGGAGGCTAAGAACACGCTAATCTCCCTGAGCCTGGCCTTCATAAGTCCATTCCATCACACCTGCCTACCTTGAATATGAGAGTGATACAAACGAAGAGAGTCATGCCGGCTCAGACATTGCCCGGACTAACAAGGTCTGTGTCAGATGTTGGGGAACAAAGGCAATCTGACAATAAGTGGGCTACTAGAATAAACAGTACATGGACAAGACAAGAGAACCTGGAATTGATGGAATGCTACTACAACAGTAGACCTAATGAGAGGGGATATATGAATGTATGAGAGAACTATGGATGGACAGAAGAATTTAGATAGACACTAAATGAAAAACACCTAGTTAACCAATGCTTCAACATAGTGAAGAGGAAGCTGCTCTCACAACTTGAAATAGACCAACTACACATTATATACCAGACTCAAGAAGACCCGGAAGAACACTGGATGTGCAGCCAACACTTGAAGCTGGAACATTACTGCCAACCCTTCCATTACAGAGCACAGCAACTGATATTAGGCATAAGATCATGGAGGAACTAGCTACAGTCAACCCTTGAGACCAATTACCAAGGCTCAGTGGAAAAGTACCATCAGATAGTGTGCTAGAAAACACCTATAGAGCCCTCCTGACAATGCTTACTACCACCATAACTCAAACCAATGAACTGATATATGCTACAGCTGCTGTAATCCTGGACATGCTTGGCTACATGATCAAGAAGAACAGCAGTAAATAGCCCCCAGAAAATGAGGTTGGAGGCTAAGATCAAAGCAACTTGGAGAGAAATTAGTTAGCTGGTGGAACTACAGAAGGGTGTGGAGGTTAAGGATAAGACATACAGTAGCTACTGAAAAAATACATTCAGACTCCATCTGAAGCCCTAGAGGCTGCTAAACAAAGGCTCACAGCACTGGCTGCCAGGCTAAGGAGATACACTAGAGAAGCAGAGGCCAAGAAGATAAATGTCCTCCAAAGAACCATCCAAGGTGTATTCCCAATTGTGCAACAACACAGTAACAGCAGAGCCACCAACAACAGAAACTGAACAGTACTGGAAGAACATATGGGAGAAAGAGAAGACACATAACACCAGTGCAAAGCAGCTGCAGGACCTGAAAGCAAACCACAGCAATCTCCCAGAACAGGAATCGGTCACCATCACAGTAGCAGACATCCAACAGCCAGTCAAGAACATGAAGAGCTGGACAGCACCAGGCCCGGACATGATCCACACCTACTGGCTAAAGAAACTAACAGCAGTGCATGAACACCTAGCAGCACAGATGAACCAGCTACTA